GAAACATCTGTATGGATGGAGGAATGTGAATGGAGGAAAATGGGGAATATGGATGAAAATGAGGATTATGAAAATAAAAATGAGGAATATGAATGGAGGAAAACATCTGTAAGAAAATGAAGGAAAGGGGGATGGAGAGGAAGGAGATGGTTGTGGAGTTAAGAAAGTATGAAAAGTTCCGGCTAACATCTACGAGTCACATGTTTTGAAGAAATTTGAGCAAGACCATTCTGCCTACACTTCATCCCTTAGCTGTAAACACAGACAACAATTTATTATGGATAGGGAAAGGGAAACATCAGTATAGCCCCCTTCTCATCATTTATTAAACTATATTAAAAATAGCCGAGGAAGATTCTTACAGCTTTTGTTGCTTGTGTCTTGGTACTATGATTATTTTTGCTTTTTTTTTCAAATGCTTTTTTTTTGACCAGACGGTGATGCGTTTGGAGGATAATCAAGCCTAAATTAGATATCATCATTCGTAAAAGACTTCTATTTGTCTGCGCATTACCCTCTTTACGCTGTTCTTCTGTGCATTTTGCCGCCATTGTAACAGTCTGTTTGTGTTCTCAGGTTTATCCGCCTCAGATGGTGGAAACAAAAATTTTGGAAGGCATGCAAGATGTTCATTTTGCCTTGGGCTCACGGCAGAACGAGATCGATTATCTGCGGCAACTGGCCGACCTTGCTGTTGCACAGTTGGTTGATGAAAGTCGTATAGCGGGTCGTGCAACTGACGACGATTCCCCGTTTCATCAGGCCCCTGCTGCTGCCGCCATCGCTAATCATTCGGTAATTTGTCATATTTTCTATACTATTCATCGTCTTTGATTGGCTATATCACTATTTAAGTTGTGGGCATGCGCACTGGTCCGTGTTGGTTTCGAGGGTTCGACTTTGCCAGTGGAACAGTCGAACGATTCGGTCATTCGCACTAGCATGCATGCCAAACAATCACAGTGCTATCAGTTTGCTTGTAAATTACACTCAAAAGAGTTAGCCATCGACAGCCTTGCCTTGCCATTGATTGCGCACATACCAACTGTTATTTCCCGATTCTCATTCCCACTGAATGTGGAGGGTCTTTTGATTTTTGATGCCACTTATTCTACATTTCCTGTCTTCTTTTTATGCGTTTTGTGCTGTGTAACTGCGTTACAAAACGCATATTGTCACAGGGTTTTCTGTGTGTGTGTTTGTGTGTGTGTCCCACATTTTGTCCCGCACTTTCAACTCGGGAACCACAAAAGCTAGGCGGCTGAAATTTTAGCGTAGTACTCTCCGCCAACGGGTGACGCGGCAAATTTAAATTCAGCCTTCCCGTACCTGCGGGTAACTCGTACGGCACCCGCCAACGGGTGACGAGGCAAATATAAATTAAGCCTTCCCGTACCCGCAGGTAACACGTACAGCCCCGTGAAAGTTTTTTACGGGTAAATTAATATCTCAGGAACAACGGAGACTAGGAGGCTGAAATTTTAGTGTAATGACCCCTTGCCTATGCTCAACCTTGCCCATTCAAATTCAGCTTCCAGTACCCACGGGCAATACGTACGGCCCCGTGAAATTTTTTTACGGGTAAATTAATATCTCAGGAACCACGGAGTCTGAGAGGCTAAAATTTTGGGGTAATGACCCCCTGCCCACGCTCAATCTTCCCCATCCAAATTGAGCGTTCCCGCGCTCTCGGGTATCACTTACAGGCTAGTGAAAATTTTTGGGGTAGTAACCCCCTGCCCACGCTCAACCTTGCCTATTCAAATCTAGCGTTCTCTCGCCGTTGAGTATCACCTACGGCCTCATGAGAGTTTTGCGGTTAAACTGTTAACTCGGGAATCGCGGAAAGATACCCCTCAAGGTTTCGAATTCAGCTTTCTTGCGCTGGTACGTGAAATTTTTAATTATTTTCCACTGTTTGAACTATTTTTGCATAGACAGGAGTACAAGGCAGTGAAAATCATTAATAGGCAATCGTTCGATGGGCTGAATTGCACAAAACGCATGATCGCACGGACTAGTCTGGTGCGCATTGCTATTTATTTCTTCCAGGGCACTGTAGTTATTTAACTGCCACTTTAATTCGATTGCCATCTCTTTACTACGCAAGCTTTTTGCAGCGCCCTTGGCCAAGTCACATATGTCGACATTTGCTTCGCGAACTTCTTGTTTTTTGCATTTTCCTCCCTCTCCTGGATCTTATCGCTGATCCGGACACTATTAATCGCATACTGATTGTTTTATTTGACTCGGATGTTCTCAGTTATCCGCAAAAGTCCCAGGTAACTCCTTTTATCAAACTTATTTCTTCATGAACTCAACGGTCATGACGCTTCAAAGATATCGCTTGGGAGAATTTACTTTTGAAGCGTTGGAATAATTTCGTGTACCAACAGAGTTAGTGCCAAGGAGACTTTTAATATTAGTAGTTGAATTACTCTAATACAGCTTAGTTTCTACTTT